TCTCGATATCAATCTCCTTCAACTAATCAACTTAAAAAAAAAAGAAAAAAATAAAAGACTCCGCTCGATGCAAGCGACTACAATACTGCTCTCTTCATTGAAATCTTGAAGACAAATTAAGGGGCTACTAAAGGGACCATTAACTTTTTGATAAAAACTAAAAATAACTTGGTAAAAACTAAAAACAACGTTATCTCTTTTTATATGAATCATATATTGTTATATTGGGTTTCAACTTTAAAGTTTTGTAAGTTTTTTTTATTTTATTTTAAAATTTTGTTTTATACTTGTTAGTAAATATGTTCTAACAAAAAAATTAGTATACCTTTTCTATCCCAAAATAATTGATATTTTTGATTTAGAATTGATCCCACAATAATAGTCATTTTTTTTATTACTTTGAGAAAGGTAAATAGTTTTTTTCTACTTTTACCCTATAATTATCTTTTAACTTTAATTATTTATTTTTTGATGGAGGGATATATTTATTTTTAGTTATTTTTTAAGTATAAAATAGGTAAAGATAAAAATTCTTTTCAAATCTTTCATTCAAAGATAAAACAAAAAAAAAATCTATTATTCTAGTATGAAGGGAGTAATATTTAAGTAATGAAACTTATTGATTTTTTATTATCACAAAAAATTATATACTTTCCTTTTTAGGATTTAGAGTTGTTGAGCTTACAAATAAAATTGAATATTATGGTAGTATTGAAGTTATATTGAAGTTATATGAAATAGAATTGAATCGGAGTAAAAAAATTGAAAAAAAAAGTGCAAATCCATAAAGAAAACATATATGAATCCAATAAAAAGAAAAACCTTGGATATAGTCATGTAAAGAAAAGCTATATGAACATAAATTAGTATAAAAGGAAGATAAACTCGTATATAGCGTAATTAGCTTGTAAAAGGGGAAAAAAAATTGTTTGCTTGTAGAAAGTGCTAAGGTGAAGAGATAAGATGTTGTCGTATTTCTAAATTACATTAATGGCTTGCAGAGATAAGAAAATCAAAGGTCTATATTTTCATTTACGAGTTAATTATTTTGATGTTTATTCTTTCAGTTTCTATAATAATAACAAAAAAAATATTTTTTATTATGAAAATTGTGAAAATCAAACCTCGCAACAAAATGAAGGATAAATTTCTCTTAAACTCTTTGATTATTTATATTGAAAATGAAATAGTTCAGTCATTTAGTATATACAATATTATAAATAGATTTTATAACATGAAGACTTGTCAAGTATTATTTTAATATATGATATAAAAATAAGTTTTCAAAATTAAAATATATTATTTTAAGACTTGAAAAGCCGACCTCCCCTAATTAAAATTCTTAGCTCTGCCCCTTACTGGAGCTATGGTCATGACGACGACTCCCTGTAGAGACAGAGAGAGAATATTACATTCACCAGGTCCATCAGCTAGGCACAATTTTAGGTCCTGTTTAGTATAGCAGTTTTGGGGTAGCGGTTAGTAGTTTTACCTAAACCGCTAAATATAGGTGTTTGGTAAATTTATATATTTCGAAACCGTTATAAATAAAGTGTTTGGTAAAATTTTTATTTAGCAGTTTGAGACTAGCGGATAGCGATTAGAGTCCAAACTGCTAGCGAATTGAAAAAGCTAGTTTATGTAGCTTTTTGTACCAAATCGTTAACAGATTAAAATTTTGTAATTTTATTTACAAATTTATCCATTTTAATTTTTTAATTTGTGGTCACATTTTTAATTAATAATTATCTAATAAATTTCAATTTTGTTTTT